TATAAATTATGCCTTAATATAAGATCTGATTCTACTTCCTGTGGCGTACTAAGCACATCACATGCCTCACATTCCACACAAAGGTCTTGGAGTCAGATGGGAACCTTAACTCCCCACTGTACCCATTTTTTCTTATTTTAAACAAACTCTTCCCCTCATTATAGCAAATAAAAGCTTAGTTGGGTCGGAGGAAACTTCCTAAAGGCCATAAATAAGCAAGACTAATGAACTCTAAATGTACTCCTAGTGCTGTTTTCCAATTTTTGAAAAGCAAATCAATTCATCATATCTATTTAAATCAATTAAGGCTTAATTATCTGCATAGATTTGCATTTGAATAAAATAGTAATTCTAAACAAAAGGGCATCTTGTTTGTTTTTGGAGAATGCCTGCATGTAGTCACAGAAGCCACCATCTCTCAAGGGCCATTTGCCCCTTAGCAGCAGCCAGAACCTGAAGCTGTGTCTCTGGCAACCAGGCAGGACTGAAAAGAAGTTGGGAGCAAAGGGCAAGTGTGTAGGCAGGGCCAGAGGATGGCCAAGAACAGGGACAGCTGGTGGTGCCCACTCCATGGGATCAGGAAATCCACTCCAGGGTTTATCTAAAATCTAAAGAAGCTGTCCAAGGTGCTGAACCCATTCTGATGACAGGTTCAGCACCTTGGAAACATCCTGTAAAATCTGGATGAAAACCTGAAATGGATTCACTACCATGCTGATATCAGAGCCACCAGCCACTACTGCTTCTTTGTATGAAAGAAAAGATTCTTCTTTTTAGAAAAAAAAGGGGGAGACAAAGCTATTGTTACACTACATCTCCCATCATCCCTTGCCACACTGCCTATGTTGGTTAGGAACAATGAAAGTTATAGTCAAGTTCTGGAGGGACATTTACTGTCCTCCAAGCTGTTTTAGAAGATACCTGCCAAGCACAGATTTTTAATATATTAAGTAGTTCCATTACAAATAATTCACTAGAACAAGTCTGCTTTCCAGTTAATCGGAGGGACCTTTCTGATGGATATAGTTCAAGCACTTAATAAAGGTGATGAAAGCATTTTAAATCTCGTCGTCATCATTACTCATTGAATGGCAGCCAACAGATGTTTTCTGAATCTTTGGCATTGGTAGTCTGGAAATTGTATGCAGGAGCACTGTCCATTTTTCAGCAGCAATAAAATCATCACCACAAGGCAGAATAAGGCAGTCACCTCTAGGCAGCTGATTTGGGATATCATGAAAGGATATCAATTGTTAGTTATTTTATATTACCTTTACTATAGCCAGTGTGGTGTAGCAGTTTGAGCATTGGACTAGAAGTCTGGAGACCAGGGTTCCATTCCCAGCTTGGCCATGGAAACCCACTAGGTGGCCTTGGGGGAGTCACACTCTCTCAGCCTCAGGGGAAGACAAAGGGAAACCCCCTCTGAACAAATCTTGCCAAGAAAAACCCATGATCGGGTTCCGTTAGGATCCCCTTAAGTTGAGAATGACTTAAAGGCACACAATAACAAAACAAATATTTTTACATTTAAAGAGAGCTGCTAGTGGAATTTACTACCATAGGTGCAAAATAACCAGGTAGGCCTTAGGCATTATGCATCTTAACCAGGGGAAGGAGGCACTGTTTGCTGCTCTGCCTGTTTGTTGCTCACAGGTTGCCTCAATTTTGTATTGCTTCTTGACAGTTGTTTCCAAGGCCCAGGTTGTGAAATTCACTTCTGAGGAAGGCTAGACTGACCTCTATCATCCTTCCACAACTGACCAGCTGCTGAACAAAGGGCATTTATTTATTTACTGTAACTCTGTATTATTTAAAGTATTTCTGTCTCCTTGTGCCTATGAATGGTGTATTTTTTACATACGTTGTATGTATCTTTATATTACCCTGAGTTTTTTATACAAAGTTTTTAATCAGCTAGAGGCCCAGTTTTGCAAGAATGGCAAAACACAAATCAAATAATTCAAAATCATAACAAGTAATCTTGGGACTGAAGCAGTCACTCCTTTACAGAAGAGTGTAGCCACTTCTTGTGGAACCATGTGCAAAACTCTATAAAGGATGGCTGTAAAGCTGATAAATACAAGGAGACAGCAGAGCCTTGAGAGTTCGTGTGTCTCTTTGTATCTCCTAGCGAATGTTGTGAAAGTTTGGAGGCAAGGTGTGCTGCTGATGTGGAACACCACTGTGAGGAAATTTGCTATGGCAGACTCCACTAAATGTAGGCCATGCTTAGATAATGCAGGTGGGCAGGACAGACCCGGGGCTCTGCTTTCCTGTAGGGCTTACACATTTATTTTCAGTTTAGTGAAATGGTCTCTTCTCACCACTTTCCCTCTCTTCCTTTCTAGGAATGCTATTTGCAGTCAGCACTACTTACATTCAGATCTTTAAATTAAAGGATCCTGTGCCAGGAAACCATCCAAGGAAATCTGGATTCTCAGAATGCACTCTGAGAGTGCCAGAACAGTGTTGTGCACAGATTGTTGGACTGCGACTACAGACCAAGGGAATTCACTGGATGATCTTGGACACTCTCTCTCAGGCTCACCTATTCATAACATAAAGTTGTTGTGAAAATAAATCTGAAGGAGAGCCATTTATTACTTTTATCTCACTGTGGAGAGAATATAAACGTTGTTGCTGTTGTTGCTGCTGTTATGTGCTATCAAAGCAAACCTAACTTATGGTGACCCTATCATAGGGTATTTTTGGTGAGACTTGTTCAGAAGTGTTTTGCCATTATCTTCCTCTTAGGCTCAGGCTGCATCTGCACTGCAGAAATAATGGACTTTAACTGCCATGGCTCAATGCTTTGGAATCCTGGGATTTGTAGCTTGGTCGGGCACTAGAGCTCTCTGACAAGGTAGGCTAAATATCTCACAAAACAACAAATCCCAGAATTCCATAACATTGAGCCATGGTAGTTAAAGTGGTGTCAAACTGCATTATTTCTGCAGTGCAGATCCAGCCAAAGACTGTTTGACTTAGCCAAAATCACAGGTTTCTGGGGCTGAATGGAGATTCAAACACAGGCCGCCCAGAGCCCAGCACTCAAATCATTGCATTAGACTGGCTCCCTGGGACATAAATATTAGCAAATAAATTACAGGCAAACAAATAAGCAAACAAATATTGATGCTATCAACCTACTTTACTGTAAGCCATTTTGGGTGCTATGGATTTAAAAGTGTACATAGAGATTTTACTGTGCACCTGTTTTTGCTCAAAGTATTCATGGATTTTGTAACTCATTCTTTCATCCACTGTATGACCTGGTTATCTGACTTGCAGCCGATGTCTCAGCCGAGCCCCACTGCTCTTGACAAGGTCAGAGGTTGTGGAAATGGATTAGATGATGACAATGAAGGAATTTTTTATTGTTGCTAACTGCCATCAAGTCAACTTCAACTTATGGCAACACTATGAATGAGAGACCTCCAAGCCACCCTGTCAGCAACAGCCCTGCTTAGGACTTGCAGACTCGGGGCCATGGCTTCCTTGATTGTCTCTTTCCATCTGGAAAGCAGTCTTCCTCTTTTCCTACTGCCTTCCACCTTACCAAGCATTATTGTCTTTTCTCATGAGTCATGTCTTCTCACGATATAGCCAAAGTATGGCATCTCAGTATAGTCATCTTGTCTTCCAGGGAGAGTTCAGACTTGATTTGCTGTAGGATCTATTTCTTTGTCTTTTTAGAAATCTACAGTATCTAAAGAACTCTATTATAATACCACATTTCAAATTAGTTGGTTTTCTTCCTATCATCTTTCTTTACTGTCCAGCTTTTACAACTATCCATAGAAATTGGAAATACAATGACATGGACAATCCTAACTTTAGTAGTCAATTATATATCTCTATACTTCAGGATCTTGTCTAGTTCCTTCATAGCTGCCCTTCCAAGCCTAGTCTTTTTTCCTGATTTCTTGACTGCAGTCTTCATTCTGATGAATGACTGAGCCAAGGTGTGGCTAATCTTTAACTATTTCAATGTCTTCATTGTCTACTTTAAAGTTATGCAAATTATCTGTAGTCATTATTTTTTGTTTTCTTTATGTTCAGGTGTAAACCTGTCTTTGTACTTTCCTCCTGGACTTTCTTCAGTCATTTTAACTTTTTGCTAATTTCTGCTAGATTATCTGCATTTCTTAGATTGTTGATGTTCCTTCCTCCAATTTCTCCCCCCCACACACACACACACTTCCAAGTTTAATCTGGCTTTATATATGACATGTTCAGCATATAAATTAAACAGATAGAATGAAAAATGCATTCTTGCTAGACCCCCTTGCCATTTGGAAACCATTCCATTTCTCCTTATTCTGTCCTGACAGTAGCTTCTTGTCCTGAGTACAGGTTATGCAGCAAGACAATCAAATGTTGTGGCACATCCATTTCTTTAAGAGTGATCTATAGTTTTCTATGAAAGTAAATCATGGAATCAGCTTGAGCTGGGCCAGTGAAGCAATAACCATAAGAGGAAGTGTCCAAGCAGTACAACTAGTTGTGTGGGGTAGCAACATTTTTGGGGTGCTGATGACATAACAAGAGGCTCGAAACTGAACCTCAACATCCTTGGCAATTTATAAAGGATCATAAGCCACAACTACACACACACACACACACACACACACACACACGTCCACCAAGTTACAATTGTGGTGTAATTACATTGTGTGATATTCTCCTACCTCACAACAACCCTGACTGTTTTTAGTGGATTTACTGATTTCTGTTGATTTGCTTTCTGTAACAATTGCACCTACAAACTAAAAAGGTGTTGTGTCTTTTTCTGTCACTGTTTAATTTATTCAGTTGTGCTACTTTAATTTCATTTTTGTGTAGTTCTTTTTTAGTTGCTCAACTGCAGTAAAATACAATTACTCTCATCCTTAGGAAGAAGCTCAGTGTCTGGTCAGAACTGTACAGTTGGCTTTCTGTACCCACAGATTCTACATCTATGAATTCAACTATCCATGGCTTGAAAATATTCCAGTGTGTGTGTGGTATAGTGGTTTGAGCATTGGACTATAACTCTGGAGACGAGGGTTCAAATCCCAGCTCAGCCATGTAAACCCACTGGATGATCCTGGACAAGTCACACTCTCTCAATCTCAGAGGATGGCAATGGCAAATCCTCTCTGAAGACACTTGCCAAGAAAACCCCATAGGGGCCTTAGGGTTGCCATAATTCAGAAATTACTTGAAGGCACACAACAACAATATCAAAAAGCAACAGAGGAGCCATGTGGAATGAGTGTTAGGCCCTCTTCCTCCTCTACTGCCCCCAGGAGAATATCAGGTGGAGGAGAAGCTTTGCAGGGCGAGCGTTTGCCCATCCTCTTCCTCCACCCAACCGTCTAGCTTGTTTTCTGCTGCTCCAGAGAACAGGTTAAGAGGGGATATGATAGCCATGTTTAAATATTTGAAGGGATGTCATATTGAGGAGGGTGCTAGCTTGTTTTCTGCTGCTCCAGAGACTAGGATCCAGAACAATGAATGCAAGCACCAGGAAAAGAGATTCCACCTGAACATTAGGAGGAACTTCCTGACAGTGAGAGCTGTTCGACAGTGGAACACACTCCCTCAGAGTGTGATGGAGTCTCCTTCTTTGGAGGACTTTAAACAGAGAGGTTGGATGGCCGTCTGTTGGGGATGCTTTAATCGGGAGTTCCTGCATGGCAAGGGTTGGACTGGATGGCCCTTGTGGTCTCTTCCAATTCTATGATTCTCCTCAAGCAAAAGCCAAGCAGCAGAGTAGCCTTGCAGGGTGAGTGTTCACCCGTCTTCCTCCATTGCCTCTGCCACCAGACCCAAACTGCACTTGAGGCCATTTGCAGATGCAAAGAAGTTCCTCATTTTTTAAAAAAAGGAAACTGCATCAGCTGTAGAGAGAGGAGCAAATAGGCAGTGGGATCAGAGCATAGATTAGTGTAAATATATAACCCTTTCCTCCCTACTGCAGTTATATGGAAAATGCCTCTCTTAAAGATAGTTTTTATGAGCAGTTCCTCATTACAGTTGGATTCAAAGAAAACAGGTTTCAGAAAAAAGGGTTTGCTTTAGCAGGAGAGGAAAGGGTTAAAATTCCCTGCCGTTTCCTGCACTGACCCCATGAATTATTTTAGGTCCCCACACCTCTAACATGATGATGGAGTTTGGAGGAAAAGATCCTCAAACATGAGTGTTTAGCTTCACACATAGTCTGGTCCTCATTTTATACTTTAAAAATAATACTAAACTCTGGAAGGACATTGAAAATCAAATCCTTTGCATTAAGACTTTTTTTTTGTCTTAATGAAATTAGAAAGTAAATTCTACACCTCTTTTTTAAAAAGCCAAAACTTTCCATTCTGTTCTTGAGAGGTCACTATCTGGGCGCAGAGAATGAAAAGAAGTTAGAAGTAAAGTAAGTACCCATAGTGTGAAACAGTTGTTTTTTAATAACAATTATTATAAAGTTCCATTTTAAAAGTAAGTTTGATGTTGTTGTGTGTCTTCAAGGTTTTTCTGACTTATGGTGACCCTAAGGTGACCCTATCAAGGGGTTTTCTTAGCAAGTTTTGAGTTTTTTGCCATTGCCATCCTCTGAGACTGAGTGTGCGACTTGCCCAAGGTCACCCAGTGGGTTTACATGGCCAAGGATTACTTTGTGGGGTGGAAAGAACAAGATTTTCTAGTTATTGTCTGATTACTTTTAAAGAACATTTTCCAAGGTATTTTTCAAGATTTATGTCCTATTTTATCAATCCTAACATTTGTTTAAAGCAACAAAAATAAAAGTGACAAGTAATGTGTCATCCAACAAATTATTTTCTTATTATTGCAATTATTATTGCAATTATTTCTTATTATTGCCACTTTGAGTCCTATATTGGGAGAAAGGCAGGATATAAGTAAATAAAATAATAACAACAACAGTAATAATAATGTAGTGGCAACAAATTATTTTTGAAGTGTAAGGAGAAACAAAAATGAACAATTAAAAAAAATAACTTTCAGACTGGAAACAATATTACCATTTCCAAAGCATGCCCTCACATCACTTGGAGCACTATTGCTGCTTAAGAGGCACAGGCTGGCACTGGACAGGGAAGCCAGAGTACTTGAACAGGACAGGATGGTTCAATGGTTTTTGCACCACATCAGGGTTAACACTGGGCAAAGCACTGAGGCCAGACTCTAGCCTTAAAGAACATTCTGTTGTCTTTATTAAGTATACAACAAAAGGAAAGTGTTTGGGAGACATTACATCTCCGGTCGATGCAACTCAACTCTGCGCCAAAGTAATGTTTATCAAACTTTTTCTCATAATGGCTCCCTTGGGGAGGAGGCTGGATTTTAGTACATAAGGACTCTCACAATTCTGATTAAATTTGTTTTTAGATTTGGAGTTCACTGTAAGCACTAATGATGGCAATGAACATTGTTTTCTGGCTGGGTTTAGCTAGGATGCATTTGCTAATGGATTTCTGGGGCATTTTAAAAAGTGCAGCTTAAGGCAAGGTAACTGTCTTTATGTTGAATGAATCAGGGTGCCCTAGAGACAACTACATTATTCAGTCACAATTTATTAACAGTATCACTCATCTCATCAGGTAAGCATTATATGAGCCCAGCAGAGGAAGATTTACAGCTTTCTTGACACATTGAACTGCCACTATGAAGTCATAATGTTGTAATGTTGAAGTTAGAGACCAATCATTCGATGCCTAGAAGTAAATGCTGGAGAGGAATGACAGAAATTCAAAAAGTGATATTAAAAAAGGCAAAAGGCAAAGACAGAGTCATTCAAGTGCCAAGTGGCTCAGGGCAGACAAGCCGAATCATCAGACCTTGATGAAATTGTATTTCCACTATATATTAAGCAAGTGTCTTAAACTAGTATTGCATCTTAAGAGATTTTAGCCAGGTTAATGTATCTGCTGGGCCACTCAGCTGCATGTATTCCCATTATAATCGATAACAGGATTGTAAGTAAGCAGTTTAGCAAGGGTCTCTTTAGTGACCAAATCATCTTCGGAGCACTGCTGTTTAATGGACTGACTGTTTTAGAAATGTTTCTTGACAAATCAGATCAGAAGGTGGTTTCTCTGTTAAGGCAAAGAAGCTACATCTGGACCAACATATTTTGCACAAAAGTGCTGAAGCTAAAGTTTGTGCACCCAGAATTGTGTATATGCATTATTTTGTGCAAACAAGCAACAAGTGAAAGAGGCCCTAAATTATTTTGCAAAAAGGACAGGCAAATATGATAACCTGCACTTTCACTTTCATTGTCACAGACTTTCCCTTTTAAAAACAAAAACAAAAACAGGGCATGTTCTGAAGGTTCCTGATGTAGCTAGCAGCTTGTTGAAACTAAGCATGTCTGCAGTCTTGTCAGTGCCTACATGGAACAATAGGTATACTGCCTTGATCTTAAAGAATGAAAAATAGGATGCATTCCTAAAAGAAAAACATGCATTAATTCAGGAAACTGACAAGAATTAGGAACAAGAATAATAGAGCAAAAACAAACTGTGGACAATATCACACTACCATGTTATAGTGCTATTATTCCATTTTAACTGCTAGGGCTGCTTCCTGTGGAATCCTGGGATTTGTAGTTTAGGGAGGGGCATTTAGAATTCTGAGCCAGAGAGCTTTTAGGCCTCACTGAACTATAAACCCTAGAATTCCAGAGAAGACAGCCATAGCTGTGAAAGAGGGAAAATATACTATAACGCTATACTATGATATTGTCTTATGATGAAAAGAAAAAGTCTCTCTTCTTTTACATGGGCACTGAGAACTGCCTTATGCCATGGCCATAATCATTTTAAATGTTTATTCTGCTGCTGCTTTTTAAATGGAATATAGTTTATAGAAAAATGGAATATATAAGCTTGTTGTAACTGTCTTTAAGTCAACCTCAACTAATACTGACCCTGTAGACAAGGCACCTCCAAGACTCCCTATTCTCAACTTCTCTGTTCAGCTTCTGCAAGGTCAGGCCCATGACCTCCCTGATTGAGTCTAGCCATTTGGCATGCAGTATTCCTCTCTTTCTGCTGCCTTTCCACCTTTCCCATCATTATTGTCTTTTCTAATGAGTCATGCCTTGTGATCTTGTGGCCAAAGTACAGCAGCCTCAATTTAGTCATCTTGGCTTCCAGGGAAAACTCAGATTTGATCTGTTCAGGGACCTGTTTGCTTGTCTTCTGGGTCATCCACGGTATCTTCAGCATTCTTCTTCAGCACCACATCTCAAACAGTATATAAAGGTGAGCTGGAACAAATAGACTCCTATGCACAGAGCGAGAGGATCGAAATGCAAACTTTACTTTAGCTAGGACTCACTAGGTAATTTCAAATTAAACAACTGTTTATTAATGGCACTGCCATTTAAAGAAAACTGGGAATGTCACCAATGATTAAAACTATATTTATTTATTTATTTATTTATTTATTTATTTATTTATTTAAATATTTCTAATATATCCTGTATCAGTGGAACTCAGGATGGATACAATCAATGAAAACAAGAGAACAATAAGACCATTCAAACAATAATGCATAGTCCAATATAAAATCAGTCTTTGCATGGGTCAGCATGTGGTGAGCAGGATAATAAGTAGTGACATGTATTTCCAATACAATTAGAGTAAAGTTTAAGCATAACGAAGTCTCTCAAATGAAATAATACCAAGATGGAACATGGTTATTGGTCTGCAGTGGCTCCAGGCTGGGGAAAGGTGTCTTATAAAAATTATGCTCTCAGTCTGATCTAATCCTGCTGAGTAGCTTTACCTCCACCTCCGCTATGCATTTACTTGCTGTGCGCCCCTTGGGCTCAGTCTGTGTTACTGGCCACAAGGGAGCTGACAAAGAAGGCCTTAAGCTGGAAGGAACCAGAAATATAGAAAGGGTAAGGAGATCCCCAGCCTCCTGCAGAGATGTGAACTTTAGCCAATGCCCTACAATGGCACTTCCTGCTGCCAGCCCTGATTTCTCATTTTATGTTTTAAAAATAGCAGCATTCTATCAGGCTAACTGAACAATGGAGAATGGAGGACTGCAAATGAGG